CGGTGTCGTGTACGCATTTCAAATAGAAAAAGGAGAGAGTTACTCCTCAGGAAACACATCATGGAAACCAAGATGGTTCAGTGAGGACGTGGGAGGGGCGGCGGCCCACAGAGGACACAGTCCTGGCCCGAGGGGACCTGCGAAGCCACAGCCGGGCCTGGGCGCCACCGCCCTCGCGCCCTCCTGTCCTCCCGCCCTCCCGGGGGCAGATGTAAACACTGAGGGTGTAACCTCCCGGGCTTCCCCCTCGGGCCGCCTCACTGGAAGCCTCCAAGGCCCTAATGCTCGGCCATAAAGAGATCTCCCGGCGCCCGGGTCTCCGTTTGCCAAGCCTTTAGTCTGAGCCTGACAATGAGGGAGCTGCGCCCAGAGCTCTGAGCCGGGGACAGTACGCGCCCTGGCTTCCCACCGAGAACCTGCCTCCGGAGGAGGGCGAGGCGGGAGGAGCGGGAAGAACAGAGAAGACAGCGGTTTCGAACCGAGACCGTCCCGCAGGCTGTGCGCCCACTGGCCACGCTCCTCCTTTGCTTCCAGTTCCCCCCATTCGCCTTTTCAAGTGGAAGAAAGGCCGCCGGGCCGCCCACACGCAGGGCTGCGCCCCTCGGAGACGCCCAGGGGAAAGGACCCCTCGGGCTGACTTACCGCCACAGAGAACTTTCCAGCACCTTCTCCGCATCCGCGTGATAGTACTTGGTCAGGATCAGGATCACCTGCGGCAGCAACAGGAAGAGGCAGAAATCAGTGGGCGTCCCAGTTCCCAGGGAAGGATGCAATGACCCCCACCCCAGGACTGGGGTCTTGGGGATCGGCTGTCCCCCGCCCCAGCCGGCATCCCCAGCTCGGCCCCTGCACACAGGGCACAGACCCCTCGCTCCTGCCCTTCAGGATGACATCCCGGTCCTCTGAGGTCGCCCAGGAGCTGCCACTCAGCGGGAATAATTCACACCCAGCCCTGGACACTCTCCAGCTGAGGTCAAAGGGCCCGCCGAGGCGCTGGTCCTGGGGTGAGTAAAGGACGTGCCTGGCCAGGGTCCCGAAACTGGGGCTCTGTCCCCTGGCACCTTGGAGAACCCCTGACACCAGCCGGCTGCTGCTGCCCCCAAGCCCAGCGCAGGCCCAGCAGGGGGCTGTCAGGACCCAGGACAGGGGGCTGGGGAGGGCAAGCCAGACAGCCAGATGGCCGGGGCCAGGCCACAGGTCACCACAGCGCGTGAGTGCGTGCGCACACCCACACAGCACACACACATATACATTCACGCACGCACACATGCAGCACACACACATATACATGCAAGCAGGCGCACACAAAGAGCACACACATACACATGCACGTGCACACATGCACACACACTCACAGCACACACATATACATGCACATACGCAGCACACATACACATACACATGCACGCACAGCGCATGCACAGAGTGCACGCACACGTGCACACACACATGCAGCACACGTGTGTACGCATACACACACACACTCTTCATTGTTGTTAAAACCACCCCCCCCACCCTGGGCCCTACCTAACAGCCGCTGTCACGGCAGGCCTGTGCAAAAAGCGCAGCTGTTTATAAGAATGAAAACGCGTGTTTGAGAGCACCCCGAGTTCTTCAAAACAAACGCACGAGCAGCGAGGACATGAGGATTCACCTGGGGGGGGGACACAGCCGCTGCATTTCCCTGCCCGTCAAATCTCCCTTCACTCACTGCCCCCACGAGCCCCTCCTAACACTCCCGTTGCCATGGGAACCCGGGAGGTAGGTGGGAGCACCCCTGGTCCCCAGCGCAGCCCTCGGCCAGGCTAACGCGGGGTCACCACACCGCCACCGCCGCGTGGCTCCTCCCGGCAGCAGACAGGTCTCTGCTCTGCGTGGCTGCCGCCCGTGCGGCCGCTCTCTCTCCTGCTGGTGATTAGAGCGGGGAGATGTGAGGAGGGAGGTCACCGAGGGGACGCGAGCGTCTCAGAGGCAGCGATGATTAAAACCACGCTCGGCAGTGGGCAGTGCCCGCGGGCCTCCTGCTGGGAACAGAGCGGTCCCTCCGCCAGCCCCGCAGCCCGCGAGGCCCGTGAGGCCACGTGCTCTGAAGACGGAAGCCGAGGACAGGCTGACGCGGGAGACAAGGGCCTTTTTAACCTACTGATTCCCACTTGGTGGCCCTGCTGCTCCCGGGGGTTCCAGGGGCCACAGCGACAGCTGGAAGGGACCCAGGCCCATCAGGAGTGAAACCCTCACCCCCACATCCTTGTCAGGCCCCCCGCTGGCACACCTGGGCCTGGGAGCCCCTCCCCTAACTCGGCCCCCACTTCTGCCCAAATGGACTAATCCTGCCCCCGGCCGGACACCGAGCGGACCCTCCCCCTCCCACTCGCGCTGCTTGGCGGCCTCCTCGCGGCCCCCCTCCCTTCTAAGCTCCAGCCATTCCAGGCCTCGCAGAGCTGCTCCTCACCTGGGACCCCCTCCCCCCACCCCATGCTACTTCCTACTCAACTCTCAGACCTCAGTCTAACTGACACCG